CACCTGATTTTCAGTGATCACAACTGAACCAATCAGGGAAAGGCTCTTGATTAAAGTGAGCAAGTGAAAAAGCAGGTAAGAGACTCTAGTAGGGAAGGCCATGCTTGAACATTTCACAGTGTTTATGAAAAAATACTATGTTCACCAAAGACATCAGCACTCTCACTGGAAATACAAGAAAGCATGCCAGCATCGAAGAAATGGGAATAAGTTATTTTGCGAACTGGTTTAAACTAGTACAAACTGCACATTTGTCCAAAATTTTTCTCTTCTCATTTAAAGTGTGATTGTGTCAAGGTGGACATTTTTATCTTTTGTCTGGATTTTCTGAGGGATGGGGATAGGGGAACAGTCTTGCCATTTCCCCAGATTTGGATAAGGATCTCCCTATGCAGTATTAAAGGGACTATTCCCATTTGTTTCCCTTCATTGAGTTCTGAGCAATCTTCTGATGATTGGAGAACAGTTACATTTATTTTTCATTTCTTGACGATGATAAATGATTCATTCTACTAAAAATGCCACACAACACCAACAGCAATCTGACTGCTGGGCTTACTTTACTTTAACTTATTTTAACTTTAAATAAAAGAGTAATTTAACTAGCATTGACTGCTTTAGCAACAATTGTAGACATTGTCCTAAAAGTTACAAAGGACTTCAAAATTTGCTCCTCTCAATTTCTTAACATTCATGTACCCTGGTTTATTGTAATGGTAACCAGCATATGCTCTACTATAGGTGCTAAGTAACAGACAGAAAACTCTGTAACTACGCAGCAAATCTGCAAGATCCATTGCAAGAAAAGTGAAAGCAAAAAATGCTGGACAAACATCAATAGGTCTGGCAGCTTCCGTGGACAGAGAAACAGGGCTTATGTGAACAAAAACAGAGAAGGCTGGGAAACTCAGTTGGTCTGCCAGCATCTGTAGTGAGAAAATAGAGTTAATGTTTCAAATCCAGTGACCCTTCATGAGAACACTGATCAAGCTAATTCCAAAGAACAGTCTTTAGACTATAAACATTAACTCTGTTTTTCTCCCCACAGATGATGAGTTCTCCAGCATTTTCTGTTTTAATTTCAGATCACCACATCTAAAATATTTTGCTTTAATTTGAGACAAAAAGAAAGTTTGCTTGAAAAAGACAATTACCACCCTGTCCACTCAATAATATCAATATTTTGAAAGACATCAGAACATCATGATTTCGAATAATTGGTAAACTTAATGCATATAGTTCATTCTTCTCTAAGACTTTGCTAAGTTTTTATGGTGTACAGATATTTCTGAAGTTACAGGCCTCTGTTCTTCTCTCTAATCCTCTCTCACTCAGGGTGTGTTTTATTATGAAACACTTCACCACATCTCAATTTATCTTTGTCTCAATTTGTTTCCTCATGGCTCTCTTTACTTAAAATAATTCTCCTGTTGTTTATTTTGAACTGAAATAGACTGGCCAGTGTTGTAAAATCTGATTAGCTCTTAATGGTGAAAAGCAGCCTGCCAATGTGGATCTGAACGTCCTAACTGTGTAAGAAGTGGTATTTAATTTTTTGTTAATCAGATGGGCTATTAATGTAAACAAGGCAAAGAGTACATCTTCATCCTCCCAAAATCAGAAAGCAATGCGAAATGGTATAGAACGGAATAAACAACAGATGTCAGAGTACAAACGTTTGCCCCTTTACTTCTCTGCTGGGGATAGCCAATTAGGTGGAGTCATTGACAGTCATTCTGTTCCCTCGGTCTTCCCCCTAGTAGGTTTAATAGATGGATGTAACTGTGCAAAAGGAAAAGGGCAAGCAGAAAGAACAACTAAGGCAAAGATCAGGGGATGACACAAATGAAATTGACTGAGTCAGAAAAGGAATGATTTTGAGGCCCCTGCAATCCCTTATTTCCTAAAAACTTGGAGAGTGTTTGTTTATCTCTGAAATTAATGATCCACCAAATTAACAGCCCACGAATGACATCAAGAGGAATGCCTGGATGAAAACATGCAATTTTTGAGTTCATTTGTTGGTGAGCCATTAATTACCGAGAAAAACAGTCACTCTCCCAATTTTCACTGAAAGGAATCTTGCCTCTGTTGTACCACATTGGAGAAAAAAACACATCAGTGACTACATATCAATAATTTCTCTAATGAGGTTTGGTCAACAAATTGCCTAACATTAGTACAGTCAGTAAGGAATGTATTTTGATTTGTTTTGGCTTCAAATACCTAATTACACATTTCAGTATCCATATAACATATGATGCTGAATATTTTCCCCTAAAGACCAAAACATATTCAGTTTGTTTTATATTCCAGAACTCATTTTAATTTTCATCTATGAGGGAAGTATTCCCATTTTTATTTTATTTCCACAAATTATGGAATTACAGTACGTAAAGTTTACATAAACATACTACTTTATCCTGATCACAATACACAATAACTGTCAACTGAATACTATCTGATAAGGAAAGAAAATTGCCAATAATTACATTCTGTTCAATTCTTGTCAAGTCCTTGGCTATTTCTTTTAAAGGAATAAACAATTAGCTCAACCATTCATTGTTAAATCCTCAGGATTTTGAAGTTAGATTATTTCAATTCACAGACATTAGATATGTCCTTGTCAGACCAAAATCTATGGCTTGACCTATATCTTTCTATCCTGTTGTCATGACTATAACATAGTCTTTGGTCCAGCTACCAATTACTCTTCAATACCCATTCCACCAGCATGAGACAAATGCAATATACAGGGCTTCAGCACCACCATTCATTAATAGGAAAGAGACAAAAGTAAGGTGACATGATTCAAAATGATTAGTGCAATGAAAGAGTAACTAACCTATTGGTTTACAGAATGTGTGTGTGTGTGTGTGTCTAACTGAATGGACAGTACATAGGAGGTAGATATTAAGAAACAAATGGAAAATAAGACTATACCTTAGATAGATTGGCTTACAGCGACACAGCTGAGTACAAGAAAGCTGCTGGCTTCTTTGTGACTGGCAGCTCTGAATAGATGGGATTTTCACCCTGGGTTCCTGTTGATTTCCTGATTGGCACAAAATACAGCAGGCCTTTCTGAATAAAGATGATGCAAGACTCCTGCTGACATCCAACTGGAAGCAGAGACCTTTGTTGCCTCCACAGGATTCTACCCCTAGCTACAAAAGGAATACATAGCTAAGGCTGCATATGAAACTTCTTGATGAACTTTAAATCCTTTCATTTCCCCATTAATTACTTGTGACTTTGCACTTGGGAAAATCAGAGAAGGTGTAGTTTTCTGGTACAGTAGTTTTAGAGGGCGTAGGATAATTTGACCAAAATACACTGATACAAAGCATTGTTCAGTTCAAAATGATATTAACTATCTTTATTTTTATATATTACTTTAACATTGCATAATAAACTTCTATAATATAACATATCACTCCAATCTTATGTTAGTATTTGTTAAGTAGCAAACCTAACAACAATTACAACAACTCTATCACAATTTACATTTGTGTAGTGCATTTAACGTTTCATAGAGCAATGGAGAAGTCAATTTGATTGAAGGAATTTCTCTGAAGCAAAGGCTGAGGGGCTGTCAGACACAAAAGTGTTCCTACAAGGTATATTATTACAGCAGAGCAGCGTTAAATTGGCAGCTTGTAAGATGGATATAATATTTTGTGTTTGAAAAGTTGGCACTAAAAAAAGTCACACTAGTCAGGAAGGTTCCAAAGGCTGAAAATGTACAGATCGAAACAGTGAATCAAATTTTTCTGTGGATGTTAGTCCTGACCTTCTGTTCCAACATAGGATGAAGGTTGGTGGAATCTGATCAAGGTTCTAAAGAGTGAAAGAGTGTGACACGGTTGACATGGAGAAGGCGTTTTCATTTGTGGCTAAGTCCAGAACCAGGGCACATATAAGATAGTCACTAATAAATCCAATGCAGAATTAAGTTAAAAAAAACTTCTTTACCTGGAAAATGCTTTGAACATGGAACTTTCTACCACAGGAGTATTTAAGACAATTAACATAGGTGCATTCAAAGAGAATCTGGAGAAGCACACAAGAGAGTAAATTATGGAGGAATATGGTGAGGGATTAGGTGAAGAGATTTAAAAGGAGAATCTTGTGGAGCATAAACACTGTAATGAACCTGTGGATCAAATTGCCTATATCCATGCTGTAGCTATTTAAAAACATTTTATAGGATATTTCATACGTTTACAGCCATCTTAACTTTGCTGAATCACCTGAGTCATTATTTGACAGGTACAAGAACAGGTCACACTGGATCATTCTTATGAAGTTACTGGTGACTGATTAGAAGATTTCAGATAATGACAATTAATATTGGATTTGGACATCATCACATGGCGTATCACAACCATTTCACAGCATAGTCCTGATAAGTTATTAATCATCCCTTTGTTTATTCTGGTTACTTTGTGTGTGAAATTGCTTTTAAAATTACCGTAATGCCAGTACTAGATGCCCTCAAATCTCCACTGTGTATTGAGATTTTCAAAGCAATGTGACTGCCGCACAGATGCTTCCAAGGATAAACTTTCTAAGACAGCAGCTGACTGAAGCATGCCATCCTCTGTGTGAAGCCCCACAATTTATGATTTAAAAAATCTTCGCATCAAGATAATCCAGCAATGTGAAGGAAGTACTGAAATAATCTTAAAGGCTAAAGATTTATCATATATGATAATTTTGCAAACAGAAGCAGAGTGGGGAGAAGGAGGTAGATAGACACCGATGGGCCAAATGGCCTCCTTCTGGGCTGTGATTCTGAGAATGTGACCAGCCAGTGCTTAATGATGCCCCTTTTGCATGTTCAACCTTTCCTGGTTTTTTCTTCAGTGATATGTTTCTCTTTCCATCCAGGGAAGGGCTTTCAAGCATTGCTGATGGTGAGTGAACTGCGGGAAACCTGTAAACCCTCCAGTAAATCTGGCAGTGCTGTTTCACTAATGTTATTTGTTTTATTTTAGAAAGTTGGATGCATTCATATATGATGCAGCCGTGCTCAATTACATGGCAGGAAGAGATGAAGGCTGCAAGCTTGTAACAATCGGCAGTGGATACGTCTTTTCAACCACTGGTTATGGAATAGCTTTGCAGAAAAGCTCGCCTTGGAAACGTCAGATTGACCTGGCCCTCCTGCAGTTTGTTGGTGATGGTATGGATGTCTTACTTTATCCATTAGCTCACGAGTTCTTATTGGATGTTCACACTTATTTTTTACCTTCTTGTTAAATTCTCCGCCCAGCATTCAGCTCCTGTCACTTAAATAAGAGGTTTCTTTGCAGCAAAAGCTGTGAACAAGTTACGAGATTCAAAACCACGGGGTGCGAGTGTAATGCCATTTCAGTCATAAATCAAACTAAAAATTTATGTTAAAAACTTTTAGTGTAGGAGTGTGTCGAAGCAACAGGAAACTAGGCGGCACAGTGCCTCAGTGGTTAGCACTGCTGCCTCACAGTGGCAGGGACCTGGGTTCACCCCCACCTTTGGGCGCCTGTGTGGAGTTTGCACATTCACTCTGTGTTTGTGTGGGTTTCCTCCGGGTGCTCCAGTTTCCTCCCACAAAGATGTGCAGGTTAGATGGATTAGCCATGGGAAATGTAGGGTTACAGGGATTGAGCAGGATGCTCTTTGGAAGGTAGGTGTGCGCTTGATGGGCCAAATGGCCTGCTTCCACACTGTAGGGACTCTTTGATCCAGACAAGAAGATTTTTAATATAGTGGCAAAATATTACATAGTTGTTGCGTTTTGAATCTCTTTCCATTTTATCTCCTGGCTTTTAAATGGGGATGAGTTTCCTTCTTTTCCGTGTTTCTCTATCCCCTCTCTGACTTACTCACACAGTTGTGACGGACGGTTATAAGACTTGAAACATTAACCCTCCCAGATTCCTCTCTGCATAACTGCTACCTCACCTGCTGAGTATTTCCAGCCTTTTCTGGGTTTTTTTTTGCCAGATTTCTGCTTTTCACAGCTTGTTTATGGAATATAGCCTGCTCCAAAATGTACCAATTCCTTCAACTCGAACGCACATCATCTCCACATTGTGGTACTGTACGGTTTGTCACAATTAAGGTCTGAACTGCTTTCAAGATTAAATAAATAGAATGTGAAATGTTTTGGAAGATAAATTGATTCTTCTCCAGTTACTGTTTATGCCATATTGAATCTTTTTTATAAAGCATTGATTTATGGGCTGAAGAGACTGTGAGCTGAATTTTAATCAGAGATATGATCATTTGAGTTGATTTAGATTAGAATGGCAAATTCTTTCAGGACAGAGGTACTGTGCGTACAGTTGGGAGAATTATTTCACTGGGCTGGCATGATAGAGATTTTTATGTCTCAGTCTAGCATGGGATTATGATGGAAGAGGTTGTAAGAAAATAGGCGCCTGATGGTTTTCTTAAAAATCAAAATGTAGCCGTCTCTTATTTCAACCATTTTTTATAGTCGGATCTATGCCAGTATAGCATTGGAAATAGGGGCTAAATTGCAGGAGAGGTGGTGGCACTGTGGCAATGTCTGGACTGAAAATTCACAAACTACAGGCTAATGTTCTGGGGTCATGGCCTCAAACCCTGGCATGGCAGAACGTGAAATTTAAGTTTTAGTCGAATGGTGAGTATATAATCATTGTTTACAAAAATACATCTGATTCACTTTGGGGAAGAAAATCTGCCGTCCTTACCTGGTCGGGCCTACACGTGACTCCAAACCCACAGCAATGTGGTTGTCTGCTGGGCAGTTAGGGCTAGGCAGTAAATATGGGTCTAGTCAGCAAAACCCACATTCAATGAATGAATAAAAACTAAAGCTGAGCTTCTTCCTCAAAGAAGTGTCTCTTTCTAAAATATGGTTAGGGTTCTGATGTTTGTGTGTGTACAATCCACATGAAACATTTCTCTGAGATATCCTTCCAAGTCATCTGTCTTGCTGAATGTGCAGAGACACCCTTTTCTAAGAACATGGAGTGCAGTGCAGGAACAGGCTCTTTGGTCCACCACATCTGTGCCGACCATGATGCTATTCTAAACTAATCCCACCTGCTTGCACATGGTCCATATCCCTCTATTCCCTGGTTGTTCAGTTTTCTGAACTGTTTCCATCGTATATGCTTCTACCACCTTCTCTGGTAGCCCATTCCAGGCACCTACCACCTTCTGCATAAAGAAAACTTGCCTTACACATCTCCTTTAAACTACCTCCCTCTCACTTTAAACCTATGTCCCCTAGTATTTGACATTTCCACCTTTGGAAAAGGACTCCGAATATCCACCCAATCCATGCCTCTGATAATTTTATATACTTTCATCAGGTCACCCTTCAGTCTTTGATTCTCTCGATAAAATAATCAAAATTTGTCCAACCTCCCCGCATAGCTAATGCACTCCAGTCCAGACAACATCCTGGTAAACCTCTTTTTCACCCTCTCCTAAGAATCCACATCCTTCCTATATTACGATGACCAGAACCACACAATACTGAGTATCTACAATAAGCCCAATCATTTCCAAATGTAGATAAATCCTGTCCATAAGAATCTTCTCCAATAAGTTTCATATCACTGATGTAAATTCACTGGCCTACAATTTCCTGGACTTTCCTTTTGCCCTTCTTAAGCAAGCAAGTGACATTGACTATCCTCCAGTCTTCTGTCTGTGGCTAAAGAGGATACAAAGATCTCTGTCAAAGCCTCAGCAATCTCCTTTGTTGCTTTACACATTATTCTGGGATAGATCCTATCAGGTTCTGAGGATTTATCTACATTAATGTTTTTCAAGACACCCAACGCCTCCTCCTTGTTAACATTGACATGCCTTAGAATACATATATATCCTTCCCCAGTCTTATCATCTAGACCCTTCTCCTTGGTGAATACCAATGCAAAGTACTCATTAAGGACCTCACTCACTTACTCTGGGTCCACGCATGAATTCCCTCTTTTGTCCTTTTGACCTGCCCTTTCCCTAGTGACCCTTTTGCTCCTAATGTACGTTTAAATGCCTTGGGATTCTCCTTAATCCTACTTGCCATTTTGTTGCCTCTTTTAGCTTTTCTAATTCCTTGTTTAAGCTCTTTAAGTTCCAAGGGGGATATCCAAGCAACCAATTCATGGTCATGTCACAGAGACTGCCTCTTTTTAGAAAGAGCATGTGTGTGCACACCTGGTCTAATGGAGCCTGGTTGTGCCAAACTCTATAACTCATGGTATTGAAGATTGTTTGGTTAGGATGAGGGTTGTGGTGGAGGTTGGTAAAGCTTACCCACACAAGATACTTGCATCCCTCCTATAAAGGTTGTGGATTATTACACATAGTGTTTGTTGGTCTCCTTATTGAACCCCAATCTACTATCATTTAAACGTCAACCTTGAAGATTCATTGTTATTCGGTAAAGGTATTGATGATTTGGATCAAAGGTGGGTCTGTCGAGCTTGGGAACGGGTCAGCAATAACTCAGTAGAATAGGTTGGTGGACTAAATGGTCAACTCTTGAGGTTGGTTGGCTCGTCGAGCTGGTTTGTTGTTCCGCAGACGTTTCGTTACCGTGCTTGTTAACATCCTCACTGCAGCCTCTGATGAAGAGTCGGTGTGTTTTCCCGCCTGGTTTTTAAACTCTGGGGTCCATTGCGATGGATTGCCTCACTTCCGGGTTTCCTCCGTAGTGGAATGTATATGGGGTCGAGTTCAATGTGTTTAGAACATAGAACATAGAACATTACAGCGCAGTACAGGCCCTTCGGCCCTCGATGTTGCGCCGACCTGTGAAACCAATCTGAAGCCCATCTAACCTAAACTATTCCATTATCATCCATATGTTTATCCAATGACCATTTAAATGCCCTTAAAGTTGGCGAGTCTACTACTTTTGCAGGCAGGGCATTCCACACCCTTACTACTCTCTGAGTAAAGAACCTACCTCTGACATCCGTCCTATATCTATCACCCCTCAATTTAAAGCTATGTCCCCTCGTGCTAGCCATCACCATCTGAGGAAAAAGGCTCCCACTGTCCACCCTGTCTAATCCTCTGATCATCTTGTATGTCTCTATTAAGTCACCTCTTAACCTTCTTCTCTCTAACGAAAACAGCCTCAAGTCCCTCAGCCTTTCCTCATAAGACCTTCCCTCCATACCAGGCAACATCCTGGTAAATCTCCTCTGCACCCTTTCCAATGCTTCCACATCCTTCCTATAATGCGGTGACCAGAACTGTACACAATACTCCAAGTGCGGCCGCACCAGAGTTTTGTACAGCTGCAACATGACCCCATGGCTCCGAAACTCAATCCCTCTACCAATAAAACCTAACATACCGTACGCCTTCTTAACAACGCTATCAACCTGGGTGGCAACTTTCAGTGATCTATGCACATGGACACTGAGATCTCTCTGCTCATCCACACTACCAAGAATCTTACCATTAGCCCAGTACTCTGTATTCCTGTTACTCTTTCCAAAGTGAATCACCTCACACTTTTCCGCATTAAACTCCATTTGCCACCTCTCAGCCCAGCTCTGCAGCTTATCTATGTCCCTCTGTAACCTGCAACATCCTTCCGCACTATCCACAACTCCACCGACTTTGGTGTCATCCGCAAATTTACTAACCCATCCTTCTACGCCCTCATCCAGGTCATTTATAAAAATGACAAACAGCAGTGGCCCCAAAACAGATCCTTGAGGTACACCACTAGTAACTGAACTCCAGGATGAACATTTCCCATCAACCACCACCCTCTGTCTTCTTACAGCTAGCCAATTTCTGATCCAAACCGCTAAATCACCCTCAATCCCATGCCTCTATATTTTCTGCAATAGCCTACCATGGGGAACCTTATCAAACGCTTTACTGAAATCCATATACACCACATCAACCGCTTTACCCTCATCCACCTGTTTGGTCACCTTCTCAAAGAACTCAATAAGGTTTGTGAGGCACGACCTACCCTTCACAAAACCGTGTTGACTATCCCTAATCAGATTATTCCTTTCTAGATGATTATAAATCCTATCTCTTATAATCCTTTCCAACACTTTACGAAGTAAGGCTCACTGGTCTATAATTACCAGGGTTGTCTCTACTCCCCTTCTTGAACAAGGGGACAACATTTGCTAGTCTCCAGTCTTCTGGCACTATTCCTGAAGACAA